TTGTCTCCTTCCACTTGTGTAGCCGTGATTTTGGTGAGAGAATTGTATTTGCCATGGTGTATTCACAGTATGTTGTTGGTTTCCCTGACAATGATGTCCATCAGGGGTTCATCGAAGAATAACTCAAGCAGTCCAGTTCACTGGCATTGTTCCCAAGTGGACAAGATGGCTTTATCCCACTTTGTGTTTCATCAAAGTCATGGGGACTGGGAACAAACTCGTCACCGTCCTGCCAATCCCAGATGCGGTCTGCTGGTGGGGTCTGGATATTGTACCGTGGTTGTGGCTGTGCAGGTTGTGGTGGGTGCAGGTTGTGGCAGTGTGGGTAAGGGTGAGGCTGGTTGGTCTGCTGAGTCAGCCGCGTGGCTAGTAGCGTGGCCCGTGATGGTGCCACATGGGCCGTGCCACCCTCACTATCACCACCACTGCCTCCTCCCTCACTGTCACCATTCATACCCATCGTTACAATATCGTCATCTTCACTATCAGGTCGTGGTGTTGGGCCACGGGATGTGCTCCCAGAGTTTCTCCTTCCCCTTGGAACAACATATGAAACACTACCAGACCGCATGCTACGTCGTACATACTGGCGCTTCACTGGGGAAAATTCACTCTCACTGTCACTAGAACTGCTTTCAATGACTTTGAAATCACTATCACTATCACTGCTATCATCAGGGTGTTGTACACGACCAAATAGTTTCCTCTTTCGTCCTGGTACAGGCGAACGTGAACGTGAACAAGCCGCACAGCACCAGAGGTCGAAGGTTGTGGGTCATCTGGGTTTTCGTCACTATTTACGTTATCCGTGGCACTTTTTTCGGTAACACTCACTGAAAACCCTTGAATTCACTGTCACTGACACTTTCATCGCTGTTAGAGCTATCACTTGGGAACAAAAGACCTCCAATCCGCCGAGGAGTGAGGAACTTCTTACCGAGAGGCATGGTGAAAATGGACTGACAACATGGCGTTCCCACAATGCACCGCTAGGTCCCAGATTTTTTTCACAGGGTGCACACCGACCACTGAGACCCATTCTCTCCCGTGTAGGCCTATCAGGCCTTTGGCGCTCGATTTGAAGCCGCTAGAATTTGTGCGTATAAATACGTCAGAAACATTGGCTCGTAAGACGTATTTATACGTCGGAAACAGTCAAAGGGTTAATGTAAATTACTTTTGTTATCATACTTTTAAGAAATTAAAATATATTTAGTGAAAAAATAGTTTTTTTTTTTATGTAGACAAATAAAAGTCCTAATATTTAGGGCACTCCGTTTAATCTTAATATCTTAGTAGTATGGAAACAACTTTTTTTTATTATATTAGGAATATTACAAATAAGCCACCTTTTTATTGCTTAATAATGTATAATATATGTGACTGACTAAGTCATGGTTCACTGCCCAAATTGTATAAATATAATTTTTATACATTAAATATAGTAAAAACTTATTATGTAATTTTTCAGGTAATTTCTTTTCTTTATTAAACATTTGAAAGCATTCTTAAATTTATGATATGGATGCTTAACTATGTCTATGGACTGATTATTATCAGAGGCCATTAATTGTGGTTGAAATGTAGAAAACTTTTTTTTTTCTAGCACTGTATGATGCATTTGGTGCTGAAAAATTCCTACATTGATGTGAAATATGCAAGTGTTTTTAATAATTTAACTAGTCACTGTATATAAATGGCATTTTTGCTTATAATAAGAAAATTAAATATGCATTTTTATATTGCTCATTAGATATCATTGGAGTATAATAATTGTACAAATACTTACATGTACTGTATATTGTTGCTATTATTTCAATTATGTCAGTGATAGTTATTTTGAGATGTACAGTAAACCCTCAATGAAACTGACTAATAGGGAGGATTGTCAGTGTCTTGTTAAGGGCTGTGGTCCCTCTTGTGGGTTGGCAGATACTAAAAAGTGGATTTTGACCACAATTTTAAACGTTCATTATATTGAAGGTTTACTATACAAGAAATTTCTTAGGTTTTGTTAATGCACGTAACTCTCATTGGATTTTTTTATTTCATACCTATACCTTACGTATTCTGCCCTATCCTGGATACATTGTTTAAGCATATTCTGAGCAAACCTAGATAGGGACAGAAGAAAAGGTTCGCTAAGCAAAAATTATATTATGTGAATTGTACTCTTCTACTGAAGCCCATGTTTTAACTCGATATGTGGACCACAGTAATAATCTTGCACATATAATTCGTATTATTTTTTTTTGGGGGGGGGGGGATGGGGGTGGAATTCATAACTACACACTGTACTCATGAGGGATACGCTTCCTTGTTCCCATTCCTTGCCTCTTCCTTTCCCATTCTATCCTCTCCCAGATGAGAATTATTATTACATTCATAAGGGGAGAAGGTACTCAGAAATTAGCAAAGTAGCAGGTCTAAAAGGTCTGCTTGCTGGTAATACCATTGTTATAGTAGTACTCAAGAGTGGTTGAAGTTGAAAAACTATATCTTTGAAAATAAATAAAACCAAACCAGGTCAACCAGGCTGTGGCGGATATGTAGGCCAGAAAGCTGCCAACAGCGCAACAGCCTGGATGACCAGACAAGCCTGGCCTAGGGCTAGACTCCAGGAGTAGAAAAACTCCAAACTCATCAGGGGTAAACCAGAATAATAGTGCTTGTAAAATAAGATGGCATTTCTGACTTGATCTAACCATTATACAGCTAACTACCTCAAGCTTTGGAGCCGTCATATCTCATCTAATTTGATGATGATAATTTTATCTCTGACATATCAAAGAGTAATGTACCAAAATTTGACTATGCATTGTTCCACTGATGGTAAATATATTTTATGTATAAACAGATGATAATACAGTGGAACCTTGGTACTCGAACAATTTGGTATTCAAACGCTTTGTTTGGTAAAAAAAAAAAAAATTGCTCAGTAGTTGACTGTTTGCTTGGCACTCAACCAAAGAAACACAACCTGCCAGAACTTCGCTGTAAACTATTTCGTGTTTCTTCACTTTTTTTTTTTTTTTTTTTTGTATAAATAAGTCACCAAAGGGCCTAAGAAGATTAGTGATAACAGCCAACCAAAAAGAAAATTGGTTGGGAAAAATTTGTTCAGTACTCGAACACCCTTCTGGAACAAATTAAGTTCGAGTACCGAGGTACTACTGAAATTACATAAATCTGTATATGTATATTCAAAGTTAGCAGAGAGTTGCCTGTATTAACAAAGTGCATTAAATATGTTTTAATATATTGTGTGAAAGCTGTAAGAAGATATATAATTATTAAAAGCAAATCTTTAAACTAGGAAAAGCTGTGTGCATAGGCAACATATTCATGGTTTCACAAATAATTAATTTTATACTCTTAAAACTGTTTATTGTTTATTAAGATATGAATAATCAGTCACAATTGCCTTCAGATTATATTCATGTTCATTTGACCTGAACCTCTTTGATTACATGATAGATTTACTGTACTTGTACTATTTCCTATCATGTGATCTGTGGATCTATACATGTGTATTGTCCAGATAAACCTGTTAAAAATATCACATCACATTACTTCACAAAAATAGAAAATCAGTGGCACCATAGCACTGTTCCCGAGGATCTAACTCGTGTCACCACTGGCATCCAAGTGCCTTTTCAGAGCACCTGTGCCTTGTCCCTATGAAACTCGTACTGAGAGGGATGTTAGAATTACTTCATCTATAGCAACATCTGGTAAATATTAGACCTAAACTCTTTTACACTATGTAATGAAAGCAGAATATTATTGAAGTAATGATTTATTGTATATGTACATATTTATTATCATCTTATGTTCTGAATTATCACATAAGCTTAAGTTATCAATAAAACAAAAAGGTGATCAGAAATTTTAAATATAATATTTGTGGAAATATACATGGGAAAGTCATAGATGTCACCTAACTACATATACAAAAATATAATCTAAAGAATTTGGGGGGGGAAGTGTATCCTAAGCAAGTCTAGGGTATACAGTGGACCCTCGACCAACGATGGCATCGTCTAACGTTAAATCCGACTAGCGATACATTTTAACGCAAAAATTTTGCCTCGACTAGTGCTAAAAAACTTGACCAACGAGATTCGTTCCGTTCGAGACACGTCCACTTGTGGCCTGAGTGCGCCAGTGTTTACAAGCCAGCCAGCCACTGCGGTCCCATCCAAACATACAATCGGAACATTTCATATTATCACAGCGTTTTTAGTGATTGCACCTGCAAAATAAGTCACCATGGGCCCCAAGAAAGCTTCTAGTGCCAACCCTACAGCAAAAAGGGTGAGAATTACTATGGATATGAAGAAAGAGATCATTGCTAAGTATGAAAGTGGAGTGCGTGTCTCCGAGCTGGCCAGGTTGTACACAAAACCCCAATCAACCATCGCTACTATTGTGACCAAGAAAACAGCAATCAAGGAAGCTGTTCTTGCCAAAGGTGCAACTATGTTTTCGAAACTGAGATCGCAAGCGATAGAAGATGTTGAGAGACTGTTATTGGTGTGGATAAACGAAAAACAGATAGCAGGAGATAGCATCTCTCAAGTGATCATATGTGAAAAGGCTAGGAAGTTGCATGACAATTTAATTAGAAAAATGCCTGCAACTTGTGGTGATGTGAGTGAATTTAAGGCCAGCAAAGGTTGGTTTGAGAGATTCAAGAATCGTAGTGGCATACATAGTGTGATAACCTTTTTTGATGAAAATCACCCTGACACAGCTACTGCAAGCCGTGTTGGCGACCTGTACACTGACAATGTTGTGAAACACTTTAGGAATGTCATAAAGGAATGGGAGGTACAGGCCTCTATGAACAGATATGTTGTGCGACAGAGGTCCAGTGACTCTGAAGCTGGTCCTAGTGGCATTAAAAGAAGGGAAGTAACCCTGGAAAAGGACTTGACGCCTCAAGTCCTAATGGAAGGGGATTCCCCTTCTAAACACTAACACCATCCACACTCTCCCCTCCTCCCATCCCATCAATCATCACCAGATCTTCAATAAAGGTAAGTGTCATGTAATTGTACATGTCTTCTTCAGTTTGTGTGTATTAAAATTAATATTTCATGTAGTAAAATTTTTTTTTTTTTTTTCAATACTTTGGGGTGTCAGGAACGGATTAATTTGATTTCCATTATTCCTTTTGGGGAAAATTAACTCGACTAATGGTAATTTCGACTAACAATGAGCTCTCAGGAACGGATTAATATCGTTGGTTGAGGGTCCACTGTACTTGGGGTATTCTCTCTTTTCCTATATTTTTATATATAAAATCATTAGAAAAAATCCATAAGGTATAATCACATAGAAGGCCATACTACAAACATTTTTGACTCCAGAAATCTGGATGACCAATGGATAATACAGGTTGTAATAATTATTCAAAATGTAGGTTTCAATACCATCTGAGAAAAATTGTCATTTCCATAATTATTATTTTACATTATTACATGAGGCGCTGCATAGCAGAAAAGAATGAACTCCATCATGGCCAAAATCTGGATTGGTAACTGAATTGATTCCTTGAAGTTTCATCTATTTTGGGAATGTGTAAATATTGTCCTCTGTAACTGTAATTTATAATCAGAGCCCCATAACTTAAGCATCACAGCCCTGATCTCCCCCACACCTGCATTTATCTCCCTTGTTTGAATCTGGCACTTATTCTTTTCTGCCATGCAACTCTCTATATGTACAATAAAGTTCCACACAACACACTGTTTGTTCCTGGAAACAAGTGTTTTATGTGAAATATTACATGGACTAAGGAACATGGCAAAAATAGTTACATTCTTGAGACCTCAAAAAAATTCTCACAAGGTTATGCAAAACTTTTTTTTTTTTTTTTTTTACTTTACATTCTAGTTGGTGGTATTAGTCTTGACATGCATGGAGAGAGAGTTGGTGTGGCCCTATTGGGCCAGGTTGGTTCTTAGGCAGTTGACTGCACACTTAAACAGAATTACCTATCCAAAGCTAAACAAACACTTGTGCAGGCTTTCCTTCCTGCTCATACACTGTTTTATAATACAATTGGGGGTTTCTCCTATAACCCTTTGAGGGTGGATGCCATACCACTACAGCTTTGAAATGCGGGTCGGTGCCGTAGTACTACATGATGAGCTCAGCTCAGCTAAACTGTGAGTGGTAAATTTGGGCCTAGATATGAGAGAATGGGTCTATGCAGTAAATGTGTACTATATAAAAAAAAAAAATTCTGCCACATGCAGTGCATAATGGGAAAAAATCCAACCATGTTTTTGGTTTAAAACGGCGACTTTGCTGTATATTGTTGTATGGTTTTTATGGTTGTTTTCTCAGTTTCTTGGTGTCATTTAATAGAATGGAAGATATATTATAGAAATTAGCTTGAAATTGAACTCAAAGTAGTAGAAATGTTTGATTTTTGTCATTATTTCCAGCTACACAAATTATATTACTCTTCCAATACGCATCCAACTAGTCGGTCTAATATGCATTCACAAATGCGCTGACATTATTTATACAATTATTACAATAATGCAGCATTCTGCATAACATTAAATCTTCTATTTTTTGCGTGATTAAAAATTCAAAATGGAAATCAAACATAATTTAGGAGATGCCTGAGGACATAACTAATGAACAGAGGAAATGTTTTTTAGTGCCAGGAATGTCTACATTGTTTATTCTGGACCCTATTTTTAAATTGGCAAGTTTTAATTTGGTGTGAAATTGGCCAAATTACCAATTTCTGATCACTTTATTGGGTAAATGGACAGTTTCTTGTACTCAATCAATAGAACAGAAGGAATACTAGCAAAATAGCTGTAAGTCTGGTCGACTGGAACAATGGAATTGGCCCAGAATAGGGCAAAATCATGGATGCATAAATACCGCCAAGATAACTAACTTTGCAAAAGCATAATTCTGTAAGTTTTTCATAAATTTTTGTACTTTTAGTTTCACTGCCTTCAGAAAAATATTATAATTTCATAAGAATTTTTTTTTTTCTTTTAATTCTTCTCAGATCAGGGGTCCTGACCCTGAAAGGGTTAATATAAGGCCATTAACCCTTTCTGGGTCCCCAGGCCCTCTCCCAGACTTGTTCTCAGGGTTGCCCAAAATTAAAAAAAAAAAAAAAAAAAATTCTCTATGAAAAGTTAGAGAATCTTTTCCCGATCATAATGACACCAAAAGTATATAATTTGATGGAAAACTTACGGAATTATGCTCTCGCGAAGTTAGCGAGAGCATAATAGGGCCCACTTTGAGCCCTATTTTCGGCCAAATCCAGTGTACTAGTTGACAAAAATCATAGCTATTTTGCTAGAACTCCATTTTTTCTATCGAAAGAGTACAGAAACCACCCATTTACCAATTTCAACTATCCAATACAGTGGTCAGAATTTAGCAATTTTGCCAATTTCACACAAATTTCAAAAGATGCCAATTTCCAAATAGGGTCCAGAATAAACAAGAAAGACATTCCTGGCACTAAAGTAACATTTCCTCTGTTCATTAGTCACGTCCCCATGCCCCTCTTACATTATTTTGCTTTCCACTTTGAATTTTTATTCTCACAAAAAATAGAAGATTTACTGTTATGCAGACTACTGCATTAGTGTAGAAATGGTATAAATAATATCAGCGCACTTGTGAAAGAATATTAGACTCACCAGTTGACGTGTATTGGACGCTTAGCATGATTTGTTTACTTTTGAACTTTGGTAAAAATCAAACATTTCTGCTAATTTGAGCTCAATTTTAAGGTACTTTTCATTGTAAAACCAGTCAAAATCATCTCAATTTCTGTAATATATCGTCCATTCTATAAAATGAGATCAGGAAAACTAGAATACAACAATAAATACCATACAAAAATACAGTGCAAAGTCGCTGTTTTAATCCAAAAACATGGTCAAAGTTTTTTTTTTTCTCATTAAGCACTGTGTGCTGCACGATTTTTTTTTATACTGCGCACACTGACCACATAGACCCATTCTTTCATATGTAGGCCTACCAGCTTTCTCTCACTAGATTTGAGGGCGCTAGAATTTAGGCGTACTAGTACGTCAAAAACCCTGAGAGGGTTAAATGGAGCACCTTTCTTTGTCTTCTGCTCAATCGACATATTCCTTTTCTGTCTTACTTAGCTGTATTAACTTACGATTCTTTTCATCTGCTCACAATCTGGATTACTCATTATTTTTCTAATTGTACGAATTATTGCTTCTTTTACAGAGAAGGTGACCCTTTCAGATTTAGCACCTAATCTGATTATATTATTATTACATAAAAGGCACAGGCCTTCTTCATCACATTATTAGTTTGCCCAAAATACATTGTATAATAGTGGCTTTCTTTCGTAATGTTTTATTAAATGTAAACCACATAAGTGACCCATCTTTAAGCATATCTAGCATTTTTATTTTTAAAATGCTCAGTGGGAAAAGGGCCATGTTGAAAATACATACATGCATACACATATACACACACATATTCGTACATTTACTATTAAAAATTTGGATTGGTTGCCGTAAATCAGAGAGAGCCAGAATAGCCTAAACTCTGGATTTTGGCTGTATATATATTACAAGGTAATTCATAATTTTATTCTATTACATAAAATGAAACTTATTTTCTGAATGAACTGCATAGGACATGTGTAAATGAAAGTAATTATTGTGTACATGAATCAAGTTTGTCACAAAGTAGGGTAGTTTTTATACTTGTAAATTTGTAAAATAAATTATTTAAGATAAAAACTGCTTTTCATTTTTTAATATACTCTAGATTTTGTGTATTATGCTTATTATAATGGATTCACTAGAAATTTCAGGTATGACTTTTGATACTTGGAAATGCCCATACCTATAGTGTTAAATGATGCTTTGGGATAATTAAAATACTTTTATCATTATTATACGGTTATTATAAGGGTTGGAGAGAGGGGGTAAAGGAGGTTTTGTGGGCAAGGGGCTTGGACTTCCAGCAAGCGTGCATGAGCGTGTTAGATAGGAGTGAATGGAGACGAATGGTACTTGGGACCTGACGATCTGTTGGAGTGTGAGCAGGGTAATATTTAGTGAAGGGATTCAGGGAAACCGGTTATTTTCATATAGTCGGACTTGAGTCCTGGAAATGGGAAGTACAATGCCTGCACTTTAAAGGAGGGGTTTGGGATATTGGCAGTTTGGAGGGATATGTTGTGTATCTTTATATGTGTATGCTTCTAAACTGTTGTATTCTGAGCACCTCTGCAAAAACAGTGATAATGTGTGAGTGTGGTGAAAGTGTTGAATGATGATGAAAGTATTTTCTTTTTGGGGATTTTCTTTCTTTTTTGGGTCACCCTGCCTCGGTGGGAGACGGCCGACTTGTTGAAAAAAAAAAAATCATTATTTCCTGATATTCATTGAAATATCTATATAAACTCTCATTCTTTTTCCTGTCAAGGTAAATTCTATTCTCAAACTTTTGGCATTGCTATATAAGCTTTCCTCTATTCCCTGTCCTTGCTAACCTTTATGTGGAATATTTCGAAACAGTCCTACTTCCTACTACTGGGGTACGTCCTCTCTGGCTTTGCTATGTAAATGATACATTTGCTCTATGGCCACTTAACTCTAATCTCTTCCAATCTTTTCTTAGTGCCCTTCACAATCTTGCCCCTTTATCAAAACTAAATAGGACTAACTAGTTACTCTGCTTCCTTTCCTTGATGTTCTGTCCACTGCTCTATGACTGACTTTTTCCATCTACGGCAAGTGGGATGTACATTTGCTATTTTAAACATCCTCTTTCTGTCAAGAAAAATGTTCTTGTTTCTCTTACCCTTCATGCCCTCTGCATCTGTAACCCTTAATTTCTTGACATTGAAATTTCCACTCTCCACAGTTGTTCTCTTGCCTTGGTTGTCCTTATGATTTCATAAACTCTGCCTACTTTCATGCTAAATGAACTTTCCTCTCTACCACACCTACTTCTCCTGTGAAATCTATTCTTTGCCTTTTCTACATCTTCAGTATTCAAAACTTTAAAAACACCTTCCATCCTGTAGCTACTAAGCTCTCTCTTCATCAGACTAATACCCTTCACACCAACTTTGCTCATACTTCTCCTATCACTGATATTGCTGGTGTCTACTCCATCAACTGCTCTTCCCGTCCTCTCCAATACTTGGTAAAACTGGCTGCTCTCTTTCAGACAGACTTAAAGAGCAGAAAAGATATGTTTACCTTTACAACAACAACAATGCCACTGTCTATCATGTCAGAGATCACAGCCATCCTATTAAATGGCCCTCCACTAAAACTACCTTTATTCTAACCATCAAAAATGCAGTCTTGTTGAAGTAGCTCTTATACACAACTAATATGAATCTTCGTTCTGATTTTGTTTCTGTAGATGCCTGCCTTTCCCATTACTTTGTCAAATGGTCTAACAACTTGAAAACACTGGTGACTTAGCTAACCTTTGCCACCTCTTCCCCTCAAGGAAGGTTCCTTGATGTTGGTGAGGGGCTCTTGATTTAGGGAATTGGATCTGTGCTCCAGTTCCCCGAATTAAGCCTGAATGCCTTCCACATCCCCCCCCCCCAGGCGCTGTATAATCCTCCGGGTTTAGCCCTTCCCCCTTGATTATAATAATAATTTGCCACCTCTCCTTCCATTTCATTTGTCTTTTGCATTATCTTTTTCCTTTGCCTCTCCTGTCTTCTGTGTCTGGGTTTTTCCCTGTAGGGGTCTTGTCCCATGGATTTTGCCCTAAGCCCATGGACCAGTAGCACTCCTTTAGTGCTCCTTTGTTTTCTTGTTCTTTTACACTACCACTTCTACCACTGTTAATAGTTTTTTTTTTTTTTTTACAAGTACTACTCTTTCTGCTATTCTACCAATTGTTTTACCATTACCACTGCTACTTCCTTATGACTACTACTACTACTGCACTGCTACAATTTCTACTACCACTGCTGCACTACTACTACTACTATTTCTACCACCACCACCACTACTACTACTATTTCTACCACCACCACCACCTACTATTTCTACTACCACCACCACTACTACTATTTCTACTACCACCACTGCTACTACTGGTACTATTCCCATGCTCCTACTCTACTTTCTTCCTTCTCCCATTCTGTCTTCTGATCTTCCCTACTTCTTAGTTGTAATTTAACAGTGGTCTAAGATGTACCAGAATGTCACCCCAACATCCTCTTCAGTGCAATTTTTGGTGAAGAAGTGTTGCCTTTTACACAATAGATAAAAAATGAATAACAAAAAAGTTAAGAAAAATTACTAATGGATACAAGACAAATTGCTTAGGATATAACTGTATTCATTACTTTATTACATTCACTGGGGAAGCAATAAACCTATATAGGAGTAGGGCAGTGCCAGGGAAAATGGGAGACAAAGTTGATCAAAGGGAGGGTAGGTCGAATTCCTTGGATCAAGAGCCCCTTACAAGTGTCAAGGAACCTTCCTTGAGGAGACAATTAAAATCAATAAATGAAAATACATCTTTAGGGGTCACCCCTGCCTTGGTGGAAAATGGCTGGTGTGTTAAAAAAAACATTGAAACAATATTCATATTGTAGATGAATACACTGGTCAAAGAAAATTCAATTCTGGATGAAAAACAGAATTTAAGCTAATAAAAGTAGGACAACATTTAACTGTCTGTATCTAAGTCTTTACCTTTACAGTGATAATCCTGCTGTATTTCTGAACAGCTCACACCCTCTTGACAAGTGATGCAACATACACCCAGACAGATATAATAAATGCTGGGTAGAGTTTGAGGTGAAGAGCAAGAGCAAATTCAGTATCTGGTGCCTGTGTTAAGTGAACCCCAGTACTGTGTACTGCTTCTACTACACTGGCTATACTGCTGTACCCCTGATGAACACACACTCCACATACCTACAAAATATACTTTGATTACACTAAATTTATCCTCCAGCTAAGCAATATAGTGGCAACATTAAGTCAGTATGCATTACTTCATAAAAAATAAATCTCACAACTTTAATAAATTTGGTACTGAGGTTAATTTAAGTTACCCCTTTATCCCTTCAACTGAACCACATGAAGTTATTTCATCTTTCAGATGATTTTTGTGGGCAAGATTTCAATGTTACAAAAATTATCCATCTAAAACATATACAACCATGTGTATTTATGAATTAATACAATATTATCTTTATTCAATTAACAACTAATACATACATATTTTTTATTACATTATTACAGCACCTAATGCCAATATACAAGAAAAATATCAATATAAATAATAAAAAAAGGCACAATGCCATGACTGGAACGATACACAAATAACCCACACATAGAAGAGAAGAGTTTACGAAGACGTTTGGACCATTTACAAAGTCACACTAATGAAAAGGAGAGCAGGATGGGTATATATAGGCAGGAGGTGGTAGTAGTAGTAGTAGTGGAGGTAGAAGGAAGTAGTAGTGGGGAGGTAGTAAGAGTAGGAGGGGCCAGTCAAATACTAAGAAAGAGGAGCACTGCAAGGGAGCTAGGTGCCCACAGAGGGTAAGAGCAAGAACACCAAGGGGAGGAAAACCAAATAAATAAATAAAGGAACAAATACACAGGGCAGAAGAAAGACAACCTAAAGGAGAAAAAGGAAAGAGGAAAGGGGAAGAGGGAGAAGAAGAAAAAAGTAGGAATCAGGTTAGGTCATGAGTGTTCTGAAGTTTGGAGTATTTTACAATGTAGTGGGAGAGGAAGGCATCTACAGAGACGAAGCCGGGACTAAGACTCATACCAGGAAAGTTGTGTATTAGGGAGGATTCAACCAGACAGCGACTGTTAAAGTTGGAAGTAGGGAAGACAGTTTTAGCAGAAGACCAGTCAATAGGATGGCTGTGATCTCTTGATGTGACAGAAAAGAGCATTGTTAGTGTCGGCAAGCCTAACACTATTTTTGTGCTCCCTAAGTCTGTCAGAAAGAGATCAACCAGTTTCTCCAAAGTATTGAAGACGACGGGAGGAACAAGAAATAGAGTAGACACCAGGAGCATCAGTAGAGGGAGGAGAGATATGAACGAGATTAGTGCGAAGTGTGTTAGTCTGGCGGAAAGTAAGTTTGATGTCTAAGGAACAGAGAGAATTGTTGAGATTAGAAAGACTGGAAATGTAGGGAAGGCAGAGGAGACAAGAGTTCCCAGGAGTGGAGAGTTTGAGAGAGAAGAAATTATGTTTAGTACGTGAGAAGGCAGAGTCTATGAAATGGGAAGGGTAGCCAAGACAGGAAAATGAATTATGAAGAGTGGAAATTTCTGATTGAAGGAACTGAGGAACTGTTCTCCTTCCTACTATCAATGTGCGCCCTTCACTCTGGCTCCGCTATGTTGATGACATCTTTGCTCTGTGGCCTCATGACTCTTGTCTCTTCCAACCATTTCTTGATGCTCTTAATAATCTTGCCTCTTCCATTAAGTTTAAAGCTGAATGGGAATCTAATTCCTTACTTCCTTTTCTAGATGTTCATGTGCACTGCTCAAATACAGGTTTTGCCTTTTCCGTTTACCGCAAGCCTATGCACAGTGGCATAACATTCACTACTTTTCTTATCATGCTTCTTCTATCAAGAAAAGTGTTCTTATCTCCCTCTTTCTCCGTGCCCTCCGCATATGTGATCCTCAGTTCCTTCAATCAGAAATTTCCACTCTTCATAATTCATTTTCCTGTCTTGGCTACCCTTCCCATTTCATAGACTCTGCCTTCTCATGTGCTAAATGTAATTTCTTCTCTCCCAAACTCTCCATTCCTGGGAACTCTTCTGTCCTCTGCCTTCCCTACATTTCCGGTCTTTCTAATCTCAACAACTCTCTCCATTCCTTAGACATCAAACTTACTCTCTGCCAGACTAATACTTTGCACTAATCGCTCCTGGTGTCTACTCTATTTCTTGTTCCTCCTGTCCTCTTCAATACTTTGGAGAAACTGGTCGATCTCTTTCTGACAGACTTAGGGAGCACAAAAATAGTGTTAGGCTTGACGACACTAACAATGTTCTTTTCTGTCACGTCAGAGATCACAGCCATCCTATTGACTGGTCTTCTGCTAAAACTGTCTTCCCTACTTCCAACTTTAACAGTTGCCGTCTGGTTGAATCCTCCCTAATACACAATTTTCCTTGTATGAATCTTAGTCCCGGCTTCATCTCTGTAGATGCCTTCCTCTCCCACTACATTGTAAAATACTCCAAACTTCAGAACACTCGTGACCTAATCTGATTCCTACTTTTTTCTTCTTCTCCCTCTTCCCCCTTTCCTCTTTCCTTTTTCTCCTTTGGGTTGTCTTTCTTCTGCCCTGTGTATTTGTTCCTTCTTTATTTATTTATTTGTTTTCCCCCCCTCGGTGTTCTTGCTCTTACCCTCTGTGGGCACCTAGCTCCCTTGCAGTGCTCCTCTTTCTTAGTATTTGACTGGTCCCTTACTACCTCCCCACTACTACTTCCTTCCATCTCCACTACTACCAGTACTACTATTACTACCATCACCTCCTGCCTCTATATACCCATCCTGCTCTCCTTTTCGTTAGTGTGACTTTGTAAATGGTCCAAGTCGGACCGAAACGTCGTCATAAGCTCCTCTCTTCTATGTGCGGGTTATTTGTGTAAGAGATGAATATACTTTTTACCATGAATAATTACATTATATTGAAGTGCATCAACACACCTTGTGGGATGTCATAATTGTAGCTAACTGTGTTAGATCTGGTGAAGTAACTTTACCAGTTGCACGAGGTTCCTCTAATCCACGAACCAATTTTCGTAAAACTGAGATGGCGTGCCGGTTCCATGGTGTCCTGCAAACAACAAAAAAACACAACTGCTAATCATACTCGGTAGTAAGTACAGTACTTAAAACAAAATCGGTACTAAAAGAGTAAATCCCACCTATATGAACTTATATTATTGAATAAAATGCTGCAACTGGTAAAATTTACCTAGGAAGTAGGTTGGTAGACAGCAACCACCCAGGGAGGTACTACCATCCTGCCAAGTGAGCGTAAAACGGAAACCTGTAATTGTTTTACATGATGGTAGGATTGCTGGTGTCTTTTTTCTGTCTCTTAAACATGCAAGATTTCAGGTACATCTTGCTACTTCTTCTTACACTTAGGTCACACTACACATACATGTACAAGCATATATATATATACACACCCCTCTGGGTTTTTTTTTCTATTTTCTTACTAGTTCTTGTTCTTGTTTATTTCCTGTTATCTCCATGGGGAAATGGAACAGAAATCCTCCTCCGTAAGCCATGCATGTTGTAAGAGGCGACTAAAATGCCGGGAGCAAGGGGCTAGTAACCCCTTCTCCTGTATAAGTTGCTAAATTTGGAAAGAGAAACTTTTTTTGTTTTTTGGGGCGACCCTGCTTCGGTGGGATACAGCCAGTTTGTTGAAAGAAAGAAAGATGTATCCAGTACATTGATGCACAACCTTTGGCTCAAATGTCTGCAAGTTTAATTATTTTTTAATATATTTGCTTGGATTCCTCACCCGCATGTCTCTCAACATTTTCCTTTAAAGTACAGTGGAACCTCTACTTATGAGTTTAATCCGTTCCATGACCTTGCTTGCACCTGGATTTGCTCATTTGCATAGTCAATTTTCCTCATTCAAATTAATTGAAATGGAATTAATGCATTCCAGTGGAATTTCAGGCATGACAAAATACTTCAATATTTCCCTAATGTCAACTATATGGCTTATTTATCTATCACAATTCATCTAATATGACAAACAATATTAATAACATAGAAACATGATATATATGCTAGAATGAATAAAATACATGTCTATGTATGTGGCTAGTGGTGGTGACAGTGGCCATTGTTGTTTTTGGGTTTATAGGGCCACCACAGCAGCCATTCCTGCTCCTGACTACATGTGTAGAGAACCTAGGATAACCCAAAAAAGTCAGACAGAGTGACTTAAAATTGCTACACTTAACTGCTCTCACTCTTAATTCTACACTTAACTGCTACACTCTTAAGGCTACACTTTGTCACTCCTCGTAGAAGTGGTACACTGGTAATGCCTCGCCAAGTTCTTAACCCTCCACCTAGTTTGTTTATGATTTCCTGCTGTAATTCCATGGAAATCATCCTCTTTTTCTTCTCAGCATTGTCCTCTGCACTTGCTTTCTTAGGACCCATGGTTAGAAACAAGAAATAACTGCACGAAACGTAGGGAAAACACAAGAATTCACTCCACCACGAGTGGAGTGGACTGAGCGTTGTTTTGATACATACTGCCATCTCGTGGTGGCGTTTGGAAACTCGCTTACAGTATAGGGTACAACAAGGTTGCTACCAGGGTACAACAAGGTTGTTTTCAAGGTACAAGGTCTGCCACTGCTGTTTCATGTCTGCCACTGCTGTTTCATATTGTCTGCCACTGCTGCTTCATGTTGTCTGCCACTGTTGCTTCATGTTGTCTGCCACTGCTGCTTCATGATATCTGCCACTGCTGCTTCATGTTGTCTGCAATTGCTGCTTCATGTTGTCTGCAATTGCTGCTTCATGTTGTCTGCCACTGCTACTTCATGTTGTCTGCCACTTCTACCTCATGATGTCTGCCACTGCTGCTTCATGATGTCTGCCACTGCTGCTTCATGTCTGCCACTGCTGCTTCATGTTTTCTGCCACTGCTGTTTCATGTTGTCGGCCACTGCTGTTTCATGTTGTCTGCCACTGCTGCTTCATGTTGTCTGCCACTGCTGTTTCATGTTGTCTGCCACTGCTGCTTCATGATGTCTGCCACTGCTGCTTCATGTTGTCTGCCACTGCTACTTCATGTTGTCTGCCACTGCTGCTTCATGATGTCTGCCACTGCTGCTTCATGATGTCTGCCACTGCTGCTTCATGTCTGCCACTGCTGCTTCATGTTTTCTGCCACTGCTGTTTCATGTTGTCGGCCACTGCTGTTTCATGTTGTCTGCCACTGCTGCTTCATGTTGTCTGCCACTGCTGTTTCATGTTGTCTGTCACTGCTGCTTCATGATGTCTGCCACTGCTGCTTCATGTTGTCTGCCACTGCTGCCTCATGATGTCTGCTCCCACTTTTGCAAGTGTGTTGAAGAGCTTTCCAATATGTGAAGGTTGAGGGCAGTGCCAATCGGACAGGTATTGGACGGTGACGTCATTTGTTTACTCTTGAACATCGCCAAAGAAATGAACATTTCTGCTACTTTGAGCTCAATTGAAACCAATCAAAAGCATATCTATTTCTGTAGTATATCTTCCATTCTATCAAATGAGACCAAAAAATACTAGAATACAAACATAAAAACCATATGAAAATACACCGCTAAGGGGAGGTTAATGGCTGAGAAGTAAACTCCATTATTTATGGTCTGATTTCTTTCCTTTTTGGTGTACATTAAGAAACATCTTTCCATCATACATTGCCCAAGTTTCAATAAGATAGTCCAACAAACAACTGAGAACCAATTCCCTAGGTCAAGAGCAGGAGCCCCTCACCAGCATCAAGGAACCCCCCTTGAGGCCCGCTCGCATCTGGAAATTTCACTCGCGTTTGGAAGCAAAAAATCGACTGAGTGACTGTTTGTATCTGGAAAAACTCGCACGTGGATGTACTTGTAAGTAGAGGTTCCACTGTATTCCTAAATGCTCACAAACTGTAATTTAAACATAAGGGGGATTGCCAATAGACCCCTGGCTATCTTCAAGAAGGAGCTGGACAGGCACCTAATGTCAGTACAGCGATACCTTGACTTACGAGTGCCCCAACTTACGAGTTTTCCGAGTTACGAGCCATTGCTCGGTTGATTTTTTGCTTTGAGTTGCGAGCCAAAATCAGAGTTTCGAGTGAGCCTCAGATATACCGCCACTCGCAGGACATATCGAGGAAATATCTAAACCTCAATAATAACCAATATGCAACATCCTTTCAATTTTGATACCACCAGTAGTGTCATCCTGCCAGAATGTTCTATAACGTATGCCCGAAGTAAAGAGAAACAATTCTGGAACGTGTAATACATGTTCGGCAGGCCGGCTAGCTGATTTTCACTTGTTCAGGAATCAGACATGACAACCGGTTCTGCATCGTATGTAATACCTGTTGGTTCATGAGCAGCTGTCTCTCTGACACAGAGAGACAAGTAGACAGAGGAAGACAGAAACACAGGCAGACAGTGCTAGACAGACAGAAATAAACAGATAGACAGAAACAAACAGAAAGACAGACATGTTTATGTGTGACAGTGAAAAATAAAGCCAAGGCAGTGTACAATAATCAAATATCACTCCACTGCCACCAGTGGAGTGACACTCATCTTACACCGTGCTTCAAGAAGTTTCATATATACTCTAACATTTCTAAAACATTGCTGGGACCTGGCAAAAAAGGCAAAAATCATTTCTTATTTATAAATACATTTTTCTTATTTAAAAACCTGTAATAAAAAATTGGGGTGTTTTTTTGGGGGGCTGGAATGGATTAATAGCATTTCAGTTAATTTCAATGAGGAAAATTTATTTAATATACGAGCAAACTGAGTTACGAGCTTGGTCACGGAATGAATTAAACTCGTAAGTCAAAGTACCCTGTACCTGACCAGCTGGACTGTGGCTCGTACGTCGGTTTACCTTTGGCTAGCAGTAACAGCCTGGTTGATCAGGCCAATTCACTGGGAGGCCTGGTCATGGATTGGGCTGTGGGGACGTTTACCCCCAAAACCCCATCCAGGTATACTTGGGGAGATTAAACCTAAAGCTGGGTCATATGCCATCATATATCTTTGTGTTCAACACATTTCATCAGGATGTTAATTATCCCCTCATGTAGTAGAAATATCACTCAGCTCTCACTATTCTTCAGTGCTATTTATAATCTACTGATCAGAAATGCATCACTCGCTTGTTTCCTGTTAATGACTGTAGTATAACCATCAAGTGATATGGCATGCAAAGAGTATGTAACCTTTATTCGGCGCATGTACACACCCTCATTGAAAGGCTATATCCCCCAACCAGCAAACCAGTACTAGGGTCAAATGATGGGGCCCCGTCGTTCGATCAGTACCCAGGTTCAAGCCAATGAGAAGATGGTTTTGGCAATCGCAGAGGTGTTGTGGGTACCACCCGCCTGTCTGCCCTTGTCATTCCCATTCTAGAGCTGGTTGAAGCACGGTCTGCTCTCTAGTGGCTTCTATTCTGCCTTGCTTACCGTGGAGTGCACTAATACCTATTGTTGTACATAGTGTATATAGATGACAGCAACCACCCAGGGGGGTACTACTGTCCTGCCAAGTGAGTGTGAAATGAAAGCCCGTAATTGTTTTACATGATGGTAGGATTGCTGGTGTCTTTTGTCTCTCTCATAAATATGCAAGATTACAGGTATGTCTTGCTACTTCTACTTACACTTAGGTCACACTACACATGTTTATTTATACACACTCATCTGAGTTTTCTTTGATTTTATCTTAATACTTCTTGGTCTTATTACTTTTCCTTTTATATCCATGGGGAAGTGGAATAGGAATCTTTCCTCCGTAAGCCATGCGTGTTGTAAAAGTCAACTAAAATGCCAGGAACAATGGGCTAGTAACCCCCTTTTCCTGTAATAATTACTAAAAAGAATAAGAAGAAAAAAACTGTCAAAGTGGGAAGTCTGAATGTGCGTGGATGTTGTGCAAATGATAAGAAAGAGATAATTGTGGATGTTATGAACGAGAAGAAGCTGGATGTCCTGGCTTTAAGTGAAACAAAGCTGAAGGGGGTGGGAGAGTTTCAGTGGAGAGGAATAAATGGGATTAGGTCAGGGGT